TTCACAACACGATTTGCATAACATATTTTCAACTTAAGTGATTTTGCCTGAATTCACGGAATTATATATTTTTTGCTTTTCAGGGAAAAGGGTTTATGACAACATATTGGTTGTTGACTGTGAAATAATTGCGATAAATTGAAAACCAACTCGTTAACTTTCGGTACCAATTTCATATGTTTTTGCAGTTATTGTCTGCCTTAAATTGTCGAGAAATAAATATTTTTAATCCTGTTTGTTTTAAACATGTCTTTTTTTTAACAAAGCCGTGGATTTCAAAATAACCGAAGGAAAGATTTTGAAGCATTGGGACTAAGAGACGGTAAAATACAATACTTAACATGAAAATAATTCGTAAATTGAACAATTCGTAAATCTTACAATACAGGTGGTCAAAAGTGCAAACACCAATAGAAGTCAATTGCTCGTTCAGAAACAGTGTGCCATAAAAAAAATAGATCGATTGTGGAATGGCAGGTCACTCACATTAAATTGCCTGGTTGAATCTGTCACGAATTTTTGTGTGGTTCTTGTAAAGGGACGCAACTCATGCTCTTATGGACTAACGTAACACTAATACTTTCGACACATGTTCAGTACTGGGGAGATCTTCAGACTAAAAAACAAAAATTCACAGCAATATACAGATATTGGGTCAAATAACTATTTTGTCACTTATCTCAAGCAATCATAAATACCCTGCAAAGAGAATTTGGAGATGTTCAGTAAGATTGGCCTGAAACCAAAACACCAGACATGGTGCAAATAAGACTAATAAAGGCTGCTTTGTGATCAATGGCCCTAATCAAGGTAGTATATGCCGGCTTTTTTTACTACATATTTGTCGTGTTTGTGATGTATGTTTAGCAGCAATGACAGATGTGGCGTCAGGCAGGATATGCTTACTATTCTCGGCACTCGATACCATTTTTCATTGTGACATACTAACTCAAGATTGATATTCTTCCTCATGTAAAAACTTTATTAGCTGCTGCCAATGTTTTGCCAATATATTGTTTTGGATTTCGTGTTCGGTTTGCTGTGCAAATCCTTAGTACATGGTTTATTCATTCAAGTCATTAATTTGTACATTTAGAAACACTAGATGTTATTACGGTAAATCATGAAAAGAGCGTCTGTGTCTATATGGTTTTTGTATTATTTCATGTCACATAATAATAATGATTTATATTCATTGATAATTTAGAACGTTATGTTCCAAGCACTTTTTTGTTTTACCTAGAGTCGATTGAGGGCATAATCCAGTAGGTGCTCGGTAAAACACCCCTGTGATGCAGATCCTGGTGCGCACTGACGAGATTTGGTCGTGGCAGTTTGGCTATTCCACTAAACAGGGTCTGTCAAGAAGCAGTTTTCTTATGTCCTGACATTACTTCTTGTATCGGGACAGTGACATGGGGATGGTAAACTATACATTCAACAGCAGCAAACAGATACTTCAGATAAGTATTTTGAGGCAATGTCTTTAATCCAGTAATCTATCCCAGTCCTCAAAGTCCTCAGAAGCAATTAAGGTCACTTTTACCTTATGTGATGTTTCCCGCAGTGACCTGGACATTTCTTAAGAAATGTGATATATGCGCCACGACTGTTCTAATACAGTTTCTTCTGTATATACCAAATTCTATTTCGCTTCTAATTAAGTCATCATTGACAAATAATATTTATTTTCAAAGACAGGATAGGATTAAAATCGATTGGAATAGCTTGCTGAATCGTTAGTGATTAATCCTGACTTATGAGCTTCCCACGGATCTTGATAACAAATTCCAACCATTAAACAAATTATACATTTCTTAATTGGATTCATGAATGTTTTATGATGCTTCAGGTATAGTGAAAAACATTGCTCGTGTATGTTGGCCGAGAGCGTGAAGCTGTGACTGAAAAGTATTTGTATTAATTGACCTATGATATTGATAAAATCGTTTTGACAAGAAAAGTGAATTAGTGATTTATATTTCATGAAGTTCAACATTTAAATTTATGTTAAAACGCAGTTTGAAAGCCGTTTGTCAATTTTATGAAATATACTTCTTCGCTTTTCAGTTTTTCTTCTTTTCAGTTCTACATAGCAAATCTGGTGTAGGTTATTTTCGAGACAAAGGTAGTATTTCCGTGAATCATTACCTATCTAATCGACTGGAAAAATGTTGACAAGATGAAAACGATACAATACCAATTCACATCATCAGCTCATTTTGAAAATCATCTGGAAATGACCTTTACAAGTCTCCAATTGTGGTACTTCAAATGGAACCGTCCAGTTGATCAGTATTCCTGGATCTAATAATATATATATTGTATATAATTAAGTTATTTCGCTCTCTGATCGATTCAATTTTTGACCATTGAGTGACAGTTTTAACCATTAGATGTGAACTAGTAAAGGTGTGCAAAATGGATCCTAAAGGTATTTTGCAGTTCTTAGGTGTACTCTTTAGCTTCAAAATATATGTTCTGTGCGATGAGCGATTTCAGACAACGATATGTTCCATTGTGTTAAGTCAGACAAGATTACCGTTTGACATCGCAAGATCTGGACCAGCGTTAGATATGGCTCTGGAGAAAGTAAGATACGTTTATAATGATACTATCAACTTTAAATATATTTATAAAGATGGGGGTAGTGACTGTGTTCCGGACATAGCAGGAGCTATTGCAGCTGACGTCTTTCATAATAAAAATGTTTCGGTCTTCATTGGTCCAGGTAAGTTTTATATTCACATTTACACTTACAAATAGGTAAACCCATGCATAAACCCGAAACAATAACCAAACGTAAGTCGAGGTATTTGAAAGACGGAAAGAACATGTTAAATCTTCTGAAGTAACCAGGCCATCATTAGAAAAACAAAATTGCGGAAAGAGTCTCATAGTCAACGTCATGCGTCCTCGGAAAAGGTAAGCTCTCTGCCTACTGTTCTGCATTGCGTTTTTTTGTTTTTGACGTTGTCTTATCGCAAGCAAGTCATTCATGATATTTTTTATTACGTCAATTGCAGCTCTGTGATGTCTGCAAACTTACGAATATCGTGATATGATCGTATCTTAGTATCTATGAACGTTGTCCATCAGACAATTCTTGAAAGTTATTCACCTCATCAATTTCAAAGGATACAGATCAAATAAATCGTAGGTTTATTCGGACGTTTGTAATTCAGGATGCAGTCTTGCTGTTGAACAGATCGGTTATATGGCAGCAAGATGGAATTTACCAATTATCACACCAGTTGGTACATCAGCAACTCTAGCTAACAAGAAAGCCTTTCCAACTTTAACCAGATTGGCTTTTGGACTTCAAGAATTTGCAGTTTTTTATATGAAATTGTTAGAAATATACCAGTGGAAGCATATAGCTTTGATCTACGACACCGACTTTTCGTTTACAAATATTATGGGTTCGTCTATATACGAAGAGTTCCGCACAACCAAACTGTCCATGGTGTATTTTCAAATTCAAAGCAGTTCGATAACCAGCGAAGAATATCAACGTATTTTAGTCAAAGCAAATGATAATGCTCGAGGTAATGCTTTTAGAGATAAAGTTAAATATTTATGCAGTTGATTTACTTTACGGAATCATCCCGATTTTAGAGAAAATCTCTGATAATCGATTTTGTAAGATGGTCTGTACCCAATTATAAATTAAATTAGCCGATTGGATTTTCACACTTCGGCAGAAATCAGAACAAAAACCACAAGGAACAGAGTTATACGTAGTCTTAGCAACCTCTTAAACTAGCTATAACAAAATTGAAGAGAAATTGCCAGCCTTTCTTTTGACTTTTCATTGATTCGGTCATTGTTTTTTTCATTCTAGTGTTTCTGATTTTTGCAATGGCTGATGATATACGTCAGTTTCTATTAACGGCACATGATCTGGGTTTTACACAAGGTGAACATGTTTTTCTTGCAACCATACCTGTCTATTTAAAACTGGAATTTTGGAGACGCGACGATTCTTATGATCAGGTAAAAATATTGTTTTTAAAGAAACATTTCAGATTCTGTTGCGTCATCTATTGAAATTTTCTTTTAAGATCTTATCATTTACTGTCGGATAAATGAAAAAACCATGTGAAATCACATGCAAGAACAGTTTCACAAACCACAATTATTATGGACAATATCCATCCTAAAGCAGCAGCAGAGTAGTAGGCTATCATCTTCATTAGGTGTCTACAATACAGTGATTCCAAAGAGCAATTATCTTGCCTTGGTTTATTTTCAGAAAGCTAAAGAGGCGTATAAAAGTGCAATGTTCATAACATTAGCAGAATCATTTGACGTTAGTTATAAATTATTTAAAAAACAAATGATTAACAGAAGTAGAATTGATTACGGTTTTGAATATGGAAGGGAAGAGGTAGGCTTGTTTATTGTTATTTATTGGTATTCGTAGCAATACATTTCCTAAATTATACGTAGAAAATGTTGTGTTGCAGATTTTAGAACTTTAATGTGTAATAGGACTTTTATTGAAAGTTTGATACATTAATGCCCGAGTGTCTACGGTCCTCAGATCCATTCAAGGGAAATACCCTGAAACTGGTTTTTCAAAGAGCGAGTATTCCCATTAACTTATAAACAAGGGAGTATTTTGAAATGTTCTTGTTCTTGAGAATACGCATCCCCCTCTTTTTTTGTTATGAGTATAATTTACAGCAATTGCAAAATTGCAAATTTTACGAATGTATAGTATGTCGTCCATAGAACTTGTTAATGGAGACTTTTAACCTTGGTACAGAGCTGGCAAGGCTGTGTACGCTGGGAAGTAAAACATTGCCATGGCATTCGATTGCTAAATTGTGACCTCGATTACTTAAAGGAAATTGAAAAACCTTGACAAAAGGGTATTATTAAGTTTTGTTAGAAAATATATTTTGTTGTTATCAGTATATAATTTGTAGACGTTCTTAACATTCATTATCGAATTAATCAATTTTGCTAAACCCTGATATTAGAGGATACTTTAACATGATCATCTTTTATTGGTTCATTAAGCTAAAGATTTTAACTTTTGCTTTTTAAATTATTATCTTAAAAAGTGTATATTAATTGATATGCCAGACTTGAGTTAGCTAAAGAGCTCCTAATTGATGCCATAATCAATGTGTACTATAATTTTAGATCCTTATTAACCGTATTTCGGTCGATTTATGATAAGCTTTTCCTAAGTATCTACATCGTCTTAAGTTAAAGACTGTTATTATTTATTCAGCCTGTATAATTATTTCTCTCATAAGACAAATGGTTTTAATATTAGTTTGACACATCATCGAACTTTTCATTCTTTATATCTCTTATATGCAACTTATGAGTCGTTTTCATTAAAGCCAACATATTTCATTCATAGGTCTGCAAATTTGCCGTAGCTAAATGTTCAAATCATGAACTGTTTACCCTCCACATGCTACTGAAATAAGATGCCATCTTAAAGTACAGTTCTGCCTTCCAATACATGCTTTTGTATATCAACATTAATGTTCTTACGTTATTACTTTTTGCTCTTTTCAGCCAAATGTATTGCTTCCTCGATTTTATGATTCAGTTCTTATCTATGCTCAAATATTGAATGAAACTCTAACCGAAGGAGGGGATCCATTAAATGGTCTTGCGATGACCGAGAGAATGAAAAACAGAACTTTCAATGGTAAATTATTCAAATGATAATTATTGAAGGTTTACATCATTTTCATTGTACTGGACTGTGGTCTCTAATGCAAGTAATGAGACCCAAATGAGCATGGCCTGCTATATCAACTTTTAGCTGTTGAACTGGAATTTAATATTTATTTCGCAAAAATAACTGATTTATAAATTTTGTAATGTGTTAAAATTCACAATTGCAAAGCATTCTGCTACTAAAAAATAAGTATAATTGCGTATAATCTGTACATTAGAATCACGTGGAACGACATAATAAGCTTGTAGTTCAAAAATGTTTCCAGCCATTTGTAATAATGAAAGCGTTAGTTCTAATTTAATCAATTGGATATTAAATGTTCTTAAAGGAATCAGCGGTAAAGTTTCAATCAATTCTAATGGTGATAGATTTACTGATCTAGTTTTATATGATATGACTAAACCGGATGAAGGCGAGTTTGAGGTAAGGCCGTAACAATTTGATTATAGTTCTTCGAAATGCAGTCCTACCTAAGAGACCAATCTCATGAACAGTTACTAACTTCAAAATTATAGAAAAAATATGCATAACGGTAGATAGAATATTGCTTCAGCATATAAACGTATAAATGATACTAGGTCAATGACAATAATTCAAATCGTAAATAGATTGTCATCTTTGAGGATGGATTTAAGTTCTCAATGGATAGTTTGTTCATTTCTTTCTACGGTGTGTGAAAGTCTGGGGACCCTGAATGAGTCAATTACCCATCACCCAGTAGACCACCGCGTAAAAGGTACTGAAAATTCCGGAAAAGTCGATGCTTAAAGGTCTAGCATTGGACCAGTCGGAAGACAGGTTCCCCGAAAAGTTAATTTCTATCCTTGTATATTCTTGCCGTCTTTTTCTTCGTTTTCAAAATTTGAACTATCGTGTTCAAAGAAATATGTAGTCCCAGATAGTGTAAGGGACGGCCGGCACGGGAGAACAACTCTTGATCTACAGTGTTGTCCAAAACGATATATAATGGCCTAATGGTTGTATATTTTAATCATTATAATTGATTTAAACAATTTTTGTCAATAATCAATCAATATTCATTAAGTAAAATTGCCAATTATCAAAGTCGCGTGAATGAAATATGGTTATTGGCTTTCATGTTAGTTTTCGCCATTAAGATCCGCAAATATGAAATACGCCCGATTCCACATAGATCATGTTGTTCATTGCTTTTAGAAAATAAATTGTATTTCTCTCAACAGGTTGTCGGGTATTATGATGGTCCTACCATGCTGTATACCGTTCATCCCATTAACGTAATACATTGGCCACGAGATAAAGGTCCCCCACCAGATAAACCAGATTGTGGATTTTTAAATGAATTATGTGGGAATGAAGGTATTATCCCTTTCTAATGGGGACTGAAAAATTACATGTCAATAAACACGATGTAGTCTGTCCCAAGAGTGTGTTCGGCTAATGGAAACATTTAATAAAACAAACATAATATTCAATTCATACAATTGTTAGTATATAAACGAAGTAATTTGAGCTACAGTTTAAAGAATGTTTCATGGATTTGTACATAAACTTTTTCCTTTGTACAAACCCATTAAATTTGAGAATTTTCAAATTAGCTGTTTAGTTTTTGGAAACAGTCGACACGATTGTTGTTTTTGTTTAATTTACATTTATATTTCTCACAGTTTCAGTTAATGACTTTAAATCTACTAGTCTATTATAGCATATTAGATTTTGTCTCTAAACGGTTAGATAGATGCTATTTTCTTTTCAGAAAATTCAGAGACGCTACTCGTAGCACTTTCTTCAACCTTTGTTGGTATATTTTTAATAGCGGTTATAATAGTTGGAATATGCTATAGGTAACAAATATGTTTTATGTTTTTGTCTTTTTCATATAAATAGCTTGCACAAAAATTATATGGAAATTGAAAAAGAAAAACAATCCATACAGATTTTGTATCGACTCCATAAGTCACGTTTTTAATTCAGCGTCGTTGAGAAATATATTTAGTAGTTGCTTTTTATACTCAACCGCTCAAGTATCATTCTGAATCATGTATCATGTTTTGATGTCAGTCTAGGATTTTGGCAAATAATAATTAAAATCTTAAAATTGTACTATATTGCGTGTACAAACCTTATTAACATAACACATTATATTACTATTTCTTTTCTTGTTTACTAGGCGATGGAGGCTTAATGCTCAGAAAGATTTATGGTGGTGGAAAATAGAAAAACATGAGCTAGAAATAAGTAGAAAGATAGTAAACAGATCTCGGCTGTCACATCTATCAAGGGTATCTGAGAATCATATTAAGTTTTATGACTTGAATTCATTCAAACACAACTTTGAAGTGCCTTTTTTCAATTTAGTATCTTAAGCTGTATTGCCTGCTCGAAACTTCAACCTATGTGCTGCCCTAAAATATTGTGGTCAAAGGCTGCTTGCCAATATAAAAATCATTTTCTTAATATTTCCAGAGATCCTCGTTGAACAGTAGTATTATCCATGCCACTGAAATGAATGTAGATGTTGCAGTATATAAGGTGCGTTCGTTCTTATATTAGTATAACTAATGGGTTAATTTCCAAATTTTTACAGGAAAATGTTTTCATAAGAGTCTTGGAACTTACCTTTGCAAGTTCGGAATGGAAACATCAGCTACCTCACATAACCAGTCAAGTGTGAAATGTCCTGATAAAGAGAAGTGGGAAATACTTGTTCAAAATAAGATTGTTGTGAAAAATGGAGTAGAAATTCCATAAATCAATTCCAATTTTAGGGAGTAACAGTGCAGGTTAAGAAACTAGATGTTACTGAAGTACCCATTACAAAACGGCTTTTAAAAGAATTTAAAGAGGTGAGAAAAATACTGCATGAAAATGGCGCCCTGTTTCATTTGAGGGTGAATATTTACCTTTAAGAATTTGCAATCATTCGGCAATAGTTACACTAATGTCTTACCTATATGGAAATAGTACTATATTGTTCTACAACTCAGAATTATCCAAATGAACTCATTTTATTATCTTCAATTATCTGTCTGAAATTGTGATTAACAAATCGTATTTGTCTTAGATAAGGGATATTACGCAAAGTAATATAGCCAAAGTTATTGGTGCCTGTTTAGAAAGTAATAATATATGTATCGTATTGGAATACTGCCCGAAGGGTACCTTACAAGTGAGTGTATTTTCAGTTTTAATCTCTCTAAGCTTGTTTTAAGTTGTTCAATTCATTGAATCTTATTATTTACATAATACATAAGAGCAGCTCGTGTCGTTCCCTGTGTATTCACAATAGCTGGAATGGAAAAGGGTTTGAATTTCAGTTTCAATTCGGTTTATAGATTCATGTTTCCTCCTTTAAAACCTTTCTTTAAAACCAAAGATCAATTCCAATTTGTCTTTCAATTTCAGGATGTCATTGGAAACACGGAGATTAATTTGGATGCTAATTTCAGATATTCTATAGCTATCGATGTGGCACAAGTAAGACAAATTTCTATTATCTTCTAATTAGTAAACATTTTGTCTGATTCAAATGAACTATATCACAAAACTGTCCATTTTCTTTCAGGGAATGACATTCATACATCAGAGTTCAATACATCATCATGGTAATTTATCTAGTATGGTTTGTTTAATAGATAATAGATTCTCTGTTAAAATAACAGATGTTGGATTGAGATATCTGTATAGTCAGGTGATACAAAATAAATCAACACAGGAATATATCAACGGTATACCATAAATTTTATTTAATTCAGTAATCTGTTATCCAGGTTACCGTAAATCGAGAATTGCCAGTATCCAGTTTTAGTGTCAAATGTCGTAACTGCCTCCTTTTCCCAATTGAATAAAGGAGGTTATAAAATATGCCAGTATGTTACCCTAGTTTAAGCAAACGAACATTTCTGTGCTTCTTAAACAAGACATTGCCTAACACCACCCTGATGCTTGTGTACCAAAATTGTACCTGATGACAAATATTGGCATACATAAATGAGAATGCATAGCACAATAGGTTTCTAACCGGCTCCACAGAGACAATATAATAATATATAGATAAATAATAGCCACAAGTCACAAATATGAAAAATGGGAAAATTTACGTGAATACAATATGCAGTAAGTTGGTTGAAAAGCGAATGTGAGTGTATGATGACTCATATTGCAGTTGATATAATTGACATTATAGTAGGTTTATATTAACCTTAACTATTATAGGTTTAAATATCTTTATTTTAGAATGTTTATGGAAAGCACCAGAACATTTAAGAAATGATGATGTGTTTGGATCCAGAGAAGGAGATGTTTATAGTTTTGGTATTATTTTACAAGAAATCCTGACTAGAGACTCCCCTTTCTCTCTCGAAGCATCAAATTTAGGAGCCAAAGGTATGTTAATAAACCCTTGTGTATTTTTCCAGCATAATTAAAACATGATTAAACACCATTAAAGCATTGCAACAGGGAACAAAATGATCACCTCTTTCGAAGAATATCCCCAGTGTGGCTTACATTATTCATTTCATAGGAAATCCACTTTTATATGTTAGCAAATGATAATTAATTTTTCAGATGTAATAATGAAGTTGAAAGAAAATAAGGGTGAACCATTCCGCCCACAAGTTGATTTTGTGCCTAATTTGGGAGATATGGGTGAACTTATGAAAAGATGTTGGCACGAAATTCCCTGCCAAAGACCAATATTCAAAACTATCCTCAAGGAGTTGAAACATATGGCAGGGTAAATATTTTCTGTTTTTGTGGGTAAATGTTAAATTTAACTAATATCCTTGAACATCCATACGCCCACGCATAGCACAATATTGGGTCACTTGCTTATTTTCATTATGGGCTTTGGTGTACTATTGGCAAAATTACCTTGTAGGAAATTGGGAGCCTCTGGAAGCTTCCTTGATAACTTGTTGAGACGTATGGAACTTTATGCCAACAATTTAGAGCACATGGTGGATGAAAAAACCCAGGAAGTTAAAGAGGAAAAGAAAAGATCAGAAGAGTTGCTTTATCAAATTATACCCAAGTAGGTCACAACATGATTTTTTACCTTTTCTGATTTTCATAATGGACATTTTTTTCTATAGAATTCTTGACATTGAATATGGTCGAAAACGAAAATACAATTCTATATATTTCCACGGTATTTATGCCAAAATGAATGATATCAGACAACACTCGGTCTCTATAAACCTTGAAGAACTAGATATAGCCAGATATATTGGATCTCTTATTACGCTATTGTATATGATTATGATTGTATCATTTAGTATACTGTTATCTTAAACGTCATTGGCTAGATATACGTTTTATATACGTTTTACTTCAAGGGAGGGAATTCTCTGACAGTTCATCTGACCACTGAAAATTTTTTTACATCCATCATAAATGTTTAATTGTATAATCTGTTCGAGATATGGAAAATAGTTACCCCTAATAAGTCTCCGGAGTACTTTAATTCGAAGCATTGCACGGGGGTACAATGAGTACCTCTCAATACAAGAAAATATTCCTTAGGGCGGTTCTGCCAACCGCGAAATAATGGTCCAACATCAGTTTCACTTGAAATCCATCCCTTCTCCTCCTACCTTTCACATATGCCGTTAAATCTTATGATTTCTTACTTCCTAACTGCTCTACCTCTTTCAGTATGTTCTCTCTTTGTTCACCACTATCTCTTATTCCTCTAAATACTATCTACCGTCTTTACTTCCGCCTGTCTTTCCATTGTCTATACGGAGCCACGGTGGCTCAGTGAGTTATACGCTTGTTCGCTAACCTGAAGGTCCAGGGTTCAATCCCGGCATAGGTCGAAGTTATACCTTCGGATTTTTCAACCCGGTTCCCCCTGTCAGTGATGCAGATAAGAAGGACAGAAATAGTCGTTCGGGTGGGACAATAAACCGAGACCCCGTGTGCTACAGGCTGTGTTAAAGATCCCTCTAGAGCTCGAAATCAAAAGGGAGCAGGCTAATGCACCCTGCATGGCGTTGCCTGTCTTCTATAGCCCACAGGGTGCAGAAAAGTGGGATATAATTCATTTCCACTGTCTATACTTCCATCCCCACGTACCTGTCCTCTCCATTTTCCCACTCTCTACAAACTGTACTTTATTTCCGACTTTAAAATCATTTCTACGACATTGTCTCCAATGCACTAGCTTTCTATCCGCCTCTGTTCTTCTTTCTTCTCTACTGAAAGCGGCACCTAAATAGTTCGGTAATAGTTTTATTAAAGAAATTTACTTTAAGGTGCACTAATGTATAATTTCTTAATATTTTTCCAGATCTGTAGCAGAAAGATTAAAGCGTGGATTGAGAGTAGAGCCAGAAGCGTTTGATTGTATCACTATTTATTTTAGTGATATCTGTGGATTTACTACCATTTCTGCTAGATCGAAACCAATGGAGGTAGTTTTACTTTTAAAACAATAATGTACCAATGCTGACATTCTATAAAGATATCGGTCAGGGCGACAATGAAAATAGTTGAATATTTTGTTAAGAGTTTCCTATCGAAAATGTATTTTAAAACATTCACACTCGATAGATTGCTATAACTGAAATAACACTTTATATATCTTAACAAACATGCCAAAATGATTCCTTATAACTTGGCTCTCCGCCGTAGGAAGGTGCATATTTTGCCTCTTCTGTGTTTTGTCAAGAACGTCTATATCTCTATGATTCATTTCCAAGAACGCAATCCTTAACATTAACCTACTCGAAGGTGACAAGGAATAGAATTGATCATTATTTCAGGTGGTGGATTTGCTGAATGATTTATATTCGTGCTTTGATGCCATTTTAGAAGAATTCGACGTGTACAAGGTATTACCAAATTTTCATTAACTATACTATTGAAGATGATGTAGTTGTATGACAAAATGGAATATTAAAAATAATATAAACATACCATTAAATTAGATAATTATTTTGATGATTATGTTGTCCGGAACATGCAAAGGACCAGATGCTTTTGTCTTTTGTTTCAGGTAGAAACTATTGGTGATGCCTATATGGTAGCTTCTGGTTTACCACAAAGAAATGGACATAAACATGCTGAAGAAATAGCTAGAATGTCACTTGCCTTACTTAAAGCTATAGATTCATTTCGTATGAGACATTTACCTGATGAAAAACTTAAATTACGTATTGGTCTTCACTCAGGTATTCTATTGTAAAGATGCATCTATCGTTACTATTATTAGATATTCACAGCTCCCATTCATCCAATTTCGGCCGTTTCAAATCTTCCTAACCAGCACTGAATAGCCATTGTCAGTAAAAAAAAATTATTTTCTTGAAAAGCCCCCATATAAATCATAAGACTTTCAAAATAGCATTGCTAATGGAAGGGTTTACTATAAAATCGTTCGTTTGGGTGTTCCAATACTACGAAATATTCCTTACCATTCTGAATGGTATTCTGTTTCGGCTTTCACTTTCTGGATTCATTATTGAAATGAAGCCCATATATCTAAAAGAAATGCTTTTGGTAATGTTAAAAGTTCCATTTTTACACTTTAGGACCGGTTTGTGCTGGTGTTGTAGGGATTAAAATGCCGAGATATTGTTTATTTGGTGATACAGTTAATACAGCATCTAGAATGGAATCACATGGTGAAGGTAATCAAGATTGTAATAGTATTGATATATCATTGAGAAGGTCTGATTTTATAAATTACCAACGATTAAAATTAGTTGTGGTCAAATGCCATGGATATCCAGTTTTAGAAGTGTCTTCATTCGAAAACAATGGTTAACTAGAAATTTGTTTGCATAGTTGCATCTGGGTGGATATTAAACGAATCCTGGCAAGTCCCACGATGAACTATAAAAGCTAGCATTGAAGATGATGTGCGATATTTTCTGATACACATAATTCAAGTGTTACTTATACATACCTGATCGCTTCATGGGTCCCTTTTGTCAATATTTCAGGATTGAGAATTCATATGAGCGAATCAACGACAGAAATTCTACAACTGGATAGTTGTTTTGAAGTAGAAAAACGTGGAGACATCGAAATTAAGGTTAATGTTGTTTATTTCTTGTGGGGAATGAAGTTATTCAACATACATATACAGGGTAGTGATTGCATAAAAAATTTTTATTTCCGTGCTGAATTCAAAATATATCTTAATTTTCAGGGCAAGGGATTAATGACAACGTATTGGTTATTAGCAGAAAAGGTAAACGTGGAAGATTCAAAGGCAGAAAACCCTAAAGCCGAAGAACCAATAGAATGATTCGAATTTGTGTACTAGAGGTGACATACCATGAATTAAAATGAACAAACAGACATGAAACCATGAAGAAAGTAGAAGTATATAAACTACCTTAACTAGTCAATGGATTGATTGTTGTCTGTGAATTCCATGATAGTTATTCCCCTTCAACAGACAATTTCTTTTTGCAAATAACAGTAGGCCAAAAGTTTTTGTGATAATATTTTTGGACATAGAAAATGTAGATACGGCGAGAATTTCAATATCCCAAAGTAACATTATTCAATCATCGACATCTTGTTCTTTGTGGGAATTGAAGTTGTGTGATTTCTGTTTAGAAAATTATTATTGTCTAAATAAAGTAAATTTGCTAAGAGTTATCTTCCTTATATTAAAAGTACCGTCTCACTTTTCTGAACGTCAAGGGTTAAGAAGGGTTCGGGTGTAAATTCTTTCTTAGTGTTGAATGTCAACAGATACATTGAATGTCAACAGATGCTAAGTATGTGTTTAATCCTTGGATAATCCTACACGATGCCATCACAATAAGACAGTTTGAATTTGATCAATACTCTATTTACGAATGTATCATTTTAGAACCACTTTCTATTCGGTTAAAAAAATGATTACATAAAAAGGATGTCCGATACAAACCTTAAATTCATGGTTCAAAATGTTGAAAAAATCAATTAATTGTACTTGCAATATCTATTCAGGGCCAAATCAGGTTTAAATAAACTGTTAAATAATTCAGGGTGTCTCTACATGAGTACACTTGTCTTGGATAGCGACTATCATAGCAGTGTTGGCAAAATAGATCTGTCATCGTCAGCATGGTCAATATCTGACTGGTCAAATGGCTAGTTAATGTGTAATTTGATTAAAACCCTGGTTATCAATTCCTCTAATTAAGAATAATTAAAAGTTTAATAGTCCAGTTTGGCTTCTCTATAAAGCCATGTCTGTTGGATAACAGCTGACTTTGATAAGGCCAACGATAAAAACTGCTACTTGTGTATCACATGACCCGAAGTAATCAGTTCATGTGGATTACGTTGCATAATGTGTTGAAAAATGGACATTTATTGAAACCAGTGACATGTTGCAATTATTGGCTGTAACATCAAATTAATTGCTATTTTATTTGCTAAAGTTGTTAACATCTTAATTCAACAGCGTTTGAGTTGGTCTAGATTTGGGCATCAATCGTATCTACTGAAACTATACGGCGTTTTTTGTCAGCCATTTATTTTCAAAAAAGTGTATATTACATGTATTGTCGTGGAAATGCTTTTTTAAGAGAGAAGCTTGGTCCTTTAAATGACTGGCTGTGAAATCTTCATCGACAATCTACAATCAATATCACCAATAGTATTGCAGTCAAATTTGATTAGATGCAAAATTGTTCATATTTATGACATTCGTCTGTGTAATATAAACGAACATGGGTCCCCATTGTAAAACAGTGTAAATTGCAATAAATGTTGAACTTGAATAGACATACCATAACTATGTCGTTAAACAAGATACCCTACTTGATAATCCCGTCAAAAGTCCACAAAAACAACTTTAATGCTCTTGTTTATTTGGGTACACTTGAACAACTGGTGATTATCAATCTGTTACATTGAATAATTAACTAATTACAATGACAGTAAACCATTAACCAACTCTTTTAATGATTTTGGTACCAACATGTACAAGTGACATTGTACGTTTAACAGTTCTTATTCATATTAATAAAAGTTGATAACTAGTTTTACTCCAACTTTGTATATATTTCCTAACTGGCAATTTGTCTTGCACATGGAAAAATGTAGTTTTATTTTATTTATATCTATTTTTATCACAGAGATAGCACTATTATGGAACCGAAGAGCAAACTGTTCTGGTCACTGTAGATGCATTCAGTTACAGCTTTCAAGTTTATTTTCACGCTACAAAATATGACTGCCGTGATGTACTTTTTGCATCTTTCAAGCCCCTAAAATATCAATGTAGCAATCTTCTGGATACAACAAACAAACAATGTAATGTAGCGAGAATTTATGGTGTTTTGTTAGATAAAGATCCAGATTATGTAATCACACAATTTATAACACTAAAAAGGTGTAGAAAACTATGGCTGAATTGGATGTTAAAATAGGGGAGTTAGGGGGTCCGAGGATCGAAGTGTTACCACTATACCTAACCTACCAATCACCACGTAAGATTTATTTCTCTAAACCTATAACTATTGCCTCATTACCATTGTAATTCATTGAATAGAGGTCTTTAAAATCATTTATGGTGTTAACGGTGATGTTATCGTTTGGGAAAATAAGGTGATTTCAATTCCGACATTTTGTTGACGGTTTTTAATGGGAGTGATTCATTATTTAACAAGATCGTTACGATAAACAAAATACTCTTGTCTTTATTTCAATCTGAAATAATTCATTCTCTTTCATTCCTCCGCCTTGTCATTATCTGTCCAAATTGTAACGCACCATTTACAAGCAGCAAAGAATCCAATATGGCTACCATGTGATCGTTTGAAATTCTAAAGAAGAACAATAAAGAGTGATTAAAGAGTGATTTATCAATTGAAAACAAAACAAACTGGTTGAGATAATGACTGGAATTAGAATTTCGATTAGAATTCATCTTGTTTGTATAAAACTAATAGTGTTCCATCAGTAATAAATAACCCGTGTCCTATCACTGTCTTTATCTTCCGATTTTAATTCTTTCTTTTGTTAAAGATGTTGAAATAAATAAGCACCAGTTTGTATCTTCTTTTTTTTGTCGATCGGAGCACAAATCAGCTCTAGCAATCACCTACTCTTGAAATATACATTTTTGATAATGTTAAGTTGTACAGTTTTGATCTAAACCTCTAATATTAAAATTGATTATCCGTTTTCAGAACTGTTCTCAGAACTCTACATTTGCGTTTTGTGTGATATAAACAGGCAAGCGACCTGGAAACCCAAAATTGGCATGTTATATACAATTCGACCATCTTTTAATGGCAAATGCCATATTTTTGAGAGATCTGCATTTTCGTAGTGCACATTAACTCAGAAAGTGTGTTTCTAAGGATGGTAGAGGCAACTCCAAGACAGCTTATAACTTGCTCCGATCCGATCAATGAATTTGCCTTGGAATTCAGAATACGTTTAGTTCGAGATGCATGTCGACAATTTTCTCTTTTGAATCCATATTAATTAATGGGTATATAATTCTTAATTAACTGATCTTTTATTGAAAAATAAATCATCCAAGAGGAAAAATATTAAATCTGAATATTTATAGTTGATTCTGATAACTTATTAACCGGAAACCATCCAGACTTCCTGTTATTGATTTGAAATTACTGCCAATCACTTTCATCGTCCAATCATCAGAAATGATTTATAACTACTTCCAGTTTAATGATGTGTCTAAAAGGGACATTAATTGCCACTAGGGACATAGTTTAGACACGGAGTTTATCAGTTACACGGTAAAACGAACTGGAATTGCTTAAACTGTTGCTGATAGTTTAATTAGAAGCAGAAGATGTAAATAAGAATATAATCGAGCGTTATTACAATGTTTGAATGTTATCAGTAAATTTATCTGGATAATGAGAGTATAGATAGAGGATATATTATTGCTTATTGCTTTCTATCTCTGGAAACTTGTCATTAAGGTTTGATATACTTCACAAATCCCCACCTGCCTGCAAAATGATTTGTATTCCCTGTCAAATTTTCCCGTATTTTATAGTTTTCAAGTTTCGTCGATTTCTACGTACGCTTTACAAGAGGCGGAGACGAAGCTCAACCAAGACTCATTAAAACCAAAGCAGCTGCTTGCAAACAAATTTAATGTTTTGTTTCTTTTATTCTCTAAATACCCAATTAGTTGTAAAATACAAACCTTTTATTGACACTTTAGACTAAATTTGTGGATAAAGAGCCCTTAAATAATGTATTTAAATTCTAGGTTTAAATAGGGGGCTCAAAGTTAAGGGTATAATTACTAGATTCAGAGTCTGAACTCAGTAAGATCTGGTTTCTCATCATTCTGAAACATCTCTAGATCTGTGATATTTAACACTAGTCTAAAGAAGTATTAACAATACCAGTTAAAATAGGTTCTGTCGAGGTTTCTAAGAGAGCATGGTATCCATTAACCAGCCAAATCACCTTCTGTGTTCACCAGAAGCTATGAAAGTATAGCTTGTATCTGGGAAACCGACGACTGATTGTGTTTAGCTCCCTTGAATATTTCTAGATCTTCATATATAAATCTTGATGCTATTATTACTAAAATTGGCCCGTCTTTATGATTATAAAATAAGTCCACTTCAAATGGCTTTATTGGAACTCGTTTGGATTCAGTCACTATTAATAAAGAAAAATTACGTTATAACTCGAAATGTACTGCAAACAGAGCCAGTGCCTCATACAAATTGTGCTCTAACGACAGATAGATATTTGCCCTTTATCTGCTTTTGAGAAAGAATCCCTGAGCATCAGGAAAAGTTCTAAACAGAATCACGGAACCATCTCCTTGTTATTCTTGACCATCTCGCATTTTATCTCTAAATGCCCATTTTCTATGTATGGTAGATCTCTTAACAGACTACCGCTTTGGTGGCATCTCCATTTTTGCTTCTCCCAGAAGCGCATGTCTCATAAATGAATAATTATAGAGTGTATTTTCAGAATATATATATATAAAAATGTCGTTAATTAAAACATGTTGTGTACATGTATGTCTAATTAGAAGAAATTAAACAGCCTTCAGACTAATGAGCTTTAGAATTTCTTCTAATAAACAACTTCAATTTATTCTTCATTTTATTTACTTTTTATGTTCCAGGCAATTTGGCGAATTTTTGAAACTAATTTAGTTTAATAAGCAAACACGCTGATTTAGTTTAAAACTAACCGAGAAGATACTTTGAAGATAGTTAGCTA